TAGATCTGAACCGTGAAATTTGGAATGAACAATATTTAGTTATGATTGTTTTGGGATATTTTCACAAAGCTTAACAAGGACTGTCCCTAATTTTTAACTGATAGACTAGAGGGAAGGCTGATAGTCAACAGTAACCACTGACAACCCTTGCTGGACCAAACAGTGATTTTACCATCACTTTTTTAGTGCATCCATGGCCTCAAACAGGGGACAGGAACCGTGGACCCATTGTTTAGTATGCTAACCACTTGGTCATACCAAGCCCTAGTTCTGATACAGTTCAAAGTGTATTATTTTAGTTATCATAATAAAATTAAACTGAAATTTATTGTTCTGATTATCCTATCAGAATCTTTAGTTAGTACTAAATAATTTTCATATGATGGAGGAAGAAAATCCTACATTTAACAGTGCTGTGTTCCTAAGTCTTGGGTATAATAAAATCTGTCATACAAGTATGATTTAGAGCAGTTTGCTATTTCTTCGTGTAAATGGAAAATTAACTGCACATTCACAAATCCTAGTCATCTTTTTGTCAAGAACCTATCCATTTCTAATTACCTTGATTTCTTATTATTATGAAAATACTCCAATATTTGTGATAAATCAAAACATTTTGACAGTATAAATATTTGTGACTGAAACAGTTTGTAAGAACCAACTTGTAGTTCTCTGTTATTATTAATATTCTGTTTACTTTTTCACAGTTTGACAGAAACCTAGATTTTAATCATACAAATTAATCCTTCAAGTTAAACCTTCTTTATAACACTTATGCTTCATTTTAATGTTGTTTCATTAGCATTGTGACACTATCTTCTAGAGTTACTACAGCTTATGTAACTAAATATATTAACTTATATAATATAGCATGTCCAGTAAAATTAAGATTAGATAGTTCTAGATGTCTTTTTTGAGCAAAGTAAGAAATAGTTCATATATATGAAAAACAACAGAAGGAACTCCAACAGAAACAAAGATGAGAAATGTGACTGACTGTATAAGTGTAAAATATTTGTACATTCTTCCAGTAAGAATATGGTGATATGTTTTCAATCACAGTCATAAACAAACAATACAAAGATAATGGTAGACAGTGTTTCACTTATTAATAAATATGTATTTTAATATATACAATTTTACAAAAAAATTTTACATAGAACATTTTAACTGTTACACTTAATCCTTAGAAAGCTGTAATACTTATACAATATCAAGTATAGACATGTAAAACACTGGCTATTATTTACAAAGAAATTGTTTGCAGTTATATAATTTTTAATGCTTTAATCAGAGCCTGTCTATCTTATTACAGTTTGAGAAGGCAGTTATTCATTTTATCATAAAGATACATTTTATGAACAACATTTAAATTATTCTTTTCAATGCAGTTATTAAATACAAAATTTATACAAAACTCGATCAAAAACAAGAAATTTCAAACAGAAACTGTCTTTTAAAAATGCTACAATTTCTGTTGTAGAATTTTTTCAATACCTGTAGAAAATTAAAATATATAAGCCTACATATCCTGCATAAAAAGAATTTCAGTAAAAGTCAAATACATACTGACAAGAGAAGCTTATAGAGGTAATAAAAGTTTTTCAATCAACTTTTCTTAAAATGGATATTCATGTCAAATCAAAATAGTGAGATGATAGAAAATTGTTATTCAAATTATTTCAAACTTTAGAATTCAAAAGTTTACTATATACACCTAATAAAATAAGTTATTCTTATAAAGTTATATACTTGCAATGAGCATATATAAATGTTTTTAAATACAATTACTAATAAATGAAAAAGAAATTATTCCTTGAATGAATTAATCATTCTCAATTGGTTAAGCCAATAGTCCTGACACACTTGACATTTTTTCTCAAGAAAGTTTGTGCTAATAAATGATTGGCAGTAGTGTTTTGCTTCTTCAACTTTTATATCAAATTAAACATATATTCTATAAGTAATCTCACTAGCTTAATGAAATTTGTTGGAATAATGTAGTATGAACAAAGTGATCTGTTTTGACAAAAGAAACAATTTAATTGCATTATAATGAGAGAACATTAAGTTTGTTATGTGCTTAGATATTCAGAACCGACATCCTTGTGTGCATCTTGTTTTTCATATAGCTACCTTAATTAGTTGAATAACACTGAAATAAAGTTTCAAAAACAAAACTGGTCAATTATTATAATCACAGTTATTTTGGAGTACGTACAGTAATTTGCTATCATGTTGTGTGTGTGGTGGGGGGGGGGGCATCAATTGCCTAAAATACTTTTGGGGGGTGTAGCAAAAATTGTAAATAATCAAAACACATCTTTTTTCTGTTTAGTCATTTGGTACATGAAAAACGTTTTGATGCTGTGATTACTTATTAACTCATAAATCTAAATAGATGGCTAATTAATTGCTTGGTTGTGATTTATTTTATTGTCTCTTATATAACCTCATTGTATAGGCAAAAAAATTAATTATCAGAAATAAAATGAAAAATTTTAATACAAAACCCAGTCACAAATTACACAATTTCCTACATTTTAAGCTGAATTTATACTTGATTTAAAAGAAGTTGAAGGTGAAAAAGATATTATATAGCAAAATTTATTATACCTAGGGGCAAAATTGTCAATAAAAAAAAAGTGCTGATACTCATAAGTGCATACAAGAAAATATTTATCTCTTATGTGTAATCTACTATATACTTTATTAAAAAAATAAAGAAAATGCATACAACTTTATTTCTTATAACAACCCTCACTGTGAACACAATTATAGATTTTATTTGACATCTATTGTTTTGATGGTTTTGAACAAACAAATGTATATATTAAACTCGCAACTAACTTAAAAATTTCATAACTGTAAATTTACTCTAGATATTATTCTTCTGCTCCTGATTCTGTTGAATGACCAAAAGCAGACATGCTAATATCGGGGCAGGTACTGATCAGTGTGCATCGGCCAATAAAACATGCCATTTTGATATATTTATCATTACTGACAAATCATACAAATCACAAAGCCAGACGAGACTACCTGATTGGAGTAATGACAAACATCAAAGCTGCTAAACTACTTCTTCCTCATGATCTTGTTGCCAAGAATTAATGTTGTTAAGTTATTTAGTGGTTCATTTGAAAAATATTCAGTGATTGTTTAGATTTTGTGAGTCATGATGTGCCTACTCTCTGCCAGTATAATGGAAGGCATGCAGTTTGGATGAAAAGCAGATCAAATAAGTACCAGTATAATTTCATCCTTGATTATACTTATAAAAATGAATCACCAAAATATTCTCTTTCTTGTGTTTTTTTATCTTTACAACATAATTTCTAATATCCAACTAGAACAAATATATATATGTTGCTTTCTGTAAGCTTACAAAAACTAATTCAACACATTCTTTTAGTATATACTTACAGTAAGTAAGTTGCTTTACTTATACCTAGAGAATTTGATATACCACACTCTTACAGCTAAATTTTATACATTTCTTTATGCTACACCACAAAAACTAATCTTCCATGTACCTACAGCACACACTTTCAGTCAATCAGTTAAGATAAGCCTTCAAATACCACATTTAGCATGCTGTTATAGAGAGCACAACCATTTCAACAAATTATTATACCTAAGCCAATTAAAAATTTATAGCATGTTTTTTTATAACACAAATTTCCAGTCCATCATATAAGTCTAGAAAATCTTATATACTTGATTTTTAAATTAATCCCAAAATATTTGGCAAAAGACTTGAAATTTTGCATGTTCTCTTAACCTCCACAAAATTAAAGAAAAAATTAAAGTCATGAGAAAATGCAAGAATGGAGGATGAAAATGGTTTTGAGGACTCTAACATTTGATTGAACTTGCTTCCTTGAAAATAGTTAATAATATGTAAGAAGCTTTTCAACTTCTAAACATTGTACATTTTTCACTTTTTGCTTCTATAAGAAAAACAAGGGTATCTTGAAGTGTCTCAGGATTGGGTGTATGGGTTTACTTCAAAACTGACATGAACATATAGATGGCTATTCAAAACAAAGACTGTAAACCTGTTTGCATAGTTCTTTCCAATGAATTTTCTGGTGTAATTTGCTAGTTTTTATCTAAGTTGATTCATTAAACAATACAAACAAATTAATTATCGTAATTTATAGTAGACTTTCATTAAAAAAATTAACTAAAGTAAAATGGTCTATGATCTGCTCTTACAAGGCATGTGATCAATTAACTTACGCTTTAATACCGTAATGACCATGTCTTATGATTAATGCTACATGCTGTGTCCTCGAAATCAGTGAGAAGAAATATAACAATAATCTACCAGTTTACATAAAAAACATTATACAACTACTTAAGACCAACAAACACAACTAAATTCTAAACAACAGATATGGAAGTGAGAGCAGATTTGACTAGAAAAATATTTTTTTTTTTTAGGCACTGGAAAGAAAGTGAAGAGACACATATCTACACTAAATATCACTGTAAAAACTTCCATGTGAGAAATTTTCTTATCATTTGTTCATAAAAAAATTAAAATCAAAGCAACTAAAACTCAAACTAAATCTTTTTCTTATTTACTGATTACATTAAGTTACTCCAGTATACATTTTATCATGTTGTAACCTTAGAGAGCTTTGGCAGATTGACAAAAAATTCACTCTCATTCTTTCATCTCTGAAAATGTCACACATTATACAAAACCAAGTAATCTCCAAGTCTTCAAACATTTTTTCTGATATGCAAATGTAACAAATTATAAAAATTTTGCATGCAACACATAATGCACTACCATGAAGAAATTTCACCTATGATGAACATGCTACATATGACATCCACAATAAAATGACAAACTTCAAACAAAAAGTGGTGTTTGTAATAATGTTTAAAACATGTTTCACCCACTCCTACCATACTTCAAATGTTTTTATGCTATCAGTAAAAAAATATTTCTTGTATGAATAGAACAAAAACTAGTTTATAAAACAAAGAAAATCATATCAAACATATAATAAACAAATGGCTCACACTTAATGCTAAAAAAAAAATTCATACAGAGGATTGAGATGTTATATCAAGGCAATTTGGAATATGCAAATCAACCATGTTAAGTCACTGTGGAATGGCATGGATCAAAATTGCATTTTGACATTGTTTTTGCATTGTACTAAATGGTAAATGACTATGGATTAAGTGGGGGATCGGGACCACCAAGAAAGAGACTTGCAACAAATCATATTCCATGTGTCGTAAACAAAGTGTGGGTCTTTTAACGCCCGAGAACTCACAAACATGCATATCAGTAGCAAAAGCCGTTCACACATCTCAAGCAACAGTAAGTAACATAATCAGGAATGATCACAGTTTGCAAAAATTATACAAGTTGTGCACACAAGTTGCTTCTATAACATTTGTTCAAGTGTCATATTCCTCAAGCAGCTGTAGACTGAAACAGGTAAATGAACATTGCTGCAAAGTTTTTGATACTGTAGTGGTATTACCATACTTTTCCAATAAATATACCAAGATTTACACATGAATTTCGTCTGCAAAACCATAGCATGCAGTTAATACATGAATTTCTTTTTCAGAAGAAGCACTAAAAATTTTTTGCAGTTGATAACTTTGTGGATAAATGACATAAAAAGCTTGCAAATAAAAAGCAAATAATGCCTTATAACTATCATAATTTTCTAACATTTTAACTATGCAATAAGAGATTTTAAAAATTCAGCTAAGTTTGTCGAGGTGATTCCCAAGCAAAAGAAGTTTAGAACTGGAGGTGAAATAGACAATTCTCTGTATAGAAAACAATGTAATATAATATGTCACATGATAAATTAAAACTTTGGTTTTGTATTTGTTATAAATAATATAGAATAAAATATCAGAGAGAGAACTGTTGGTAGTTTGTGAAAGAGAGGATGTGACAGTTTATGACTACATAAGTAAATAAGATTGAAGGCTATAAAAATTATGCTTTGCCTAAGTACTCTCTATATTATAGTGAGTAATTTACATTAAATTCGGTACTTCTGGGAGAGAAGATGCTCTGCCTAGCAGGTCTATACATACCCAGTCACTGTTTTCTCAAACTTTCATGGCTAAGAATGAACTGTTGGAGTTGTTTCACTCAGATTCTGAAGAATTTGAGTTTGGTGAATTTTTGGGGAGAGAAATTTAGGTGGAGCATGTTACAGAAACAAAGTTAAGTTTCGAATATTTTTGAAAACTCCCATTCAAGTTTCTATATCAGTAAGAATACTTGAATAAATGAATGAAGCATGCACATGTATTGTTGTCTTCCATTATCACTAAAAAATTGTTGGAAAATAATAAAGTCACAATATTTCTTATTTTACTTTTGTGTTTTATAATGGCTTTCTTAGAAGGAAATAATTGCTAAGAAAGAGCATGTGGAATATATGTATGTTTTCCTGCAAGCCTACTGGTAACTTGACAACTGCTGTGCTACAGCCACATATACTCAGGTGTGGTTTATACACAAGTTTGCTTTTTTGTAATGTTGACTTGCTTACACACTATGCAGTTTATAATTGGAAAATTAAGGTACCACATTTATCCAATTATCTGTGGAAGTATAATGATTTTGCAGAATTGTTGAGGAAGGTGAGAAACTAAAACAAATATCATAATTCTGAATTGTCTGCAGAACCATCGATGTTTCTCTATCAATGTCTCACATTCATATCTTATTATCATGAGTTTTACAGAAATTTATTTCTCTCTGTAGTCTATATATATATATGGATGACAATACACCAAATGGAAAGAAACAACATCTATATTTGGTAAATGCAGTGATCATTTATCGTTAATTAGGTCTAGTGAAGGAATTTGAAGGCTGGTACTGTAATCCATAGTTTCTGTGACTGAAGATTATTCCACTGAACTTAAAATATTCATATAATCCTTAATAAAGATATTATGAAAATTGATTTTATAAATTAAAATAATAGCTATGGATTATGCATAATTTTATTTAACCTTGCCTTACATAATCTAATGGAAATGTAACAAGTTCGCATTTCAAAGTTATCATTTTATTCAACTCTAACAAATTATGTTGAGTTAATTGTTTTCCCACAGTTTGGTTGTTGACTCCATATAAATATCACAATCAACATGGTCAAACCAGAAAATAAATAACTTTCTTCATCCTAGACGTATATACTACAACATAAACCTAACCTTTTAATCTTTCACCCTTACCAATTTATTTAATTCCACCAAAAGCTATGCTTGGTCAATCATTAGCCACAATGTGGTCGTTGATTCTGTATAGATCACATAATTAACTCAGTTGCTATAGGTTTTACTGGGATGTCTAGTAACCATAATCAGGTGGGCATTTATCACTGCATGCACACATTATTGATATCCATTCTGAAATGTGCCGAACAACTATTTTACTTTCAAATCTTGTATCTGCTGCCCATTTTTAAGGTCTGTGTATGAAGTAAAATGCATTCTGTGTCCAAATGCCACTGTCAGTGTGGCCAACAATGGTATTGCTTCTTTGAAGCAACATTCAAAGGAATCCAAACACATAGCTAAGGCAATTTCACTGTTTGGCAAAGACCAGAAAGTGGATCCAGCTGAAACTTTACAAGTAAACACATTGAAGACATAAAAGCCATTGACACTCTTAATCATGCAAGTAAGAGGAAATGCTGTAACAAAGAGTAATTGGAGTGTGTCATACTTCCCAACTGGCAACTGTTTCTTCTTCTGCAGTTGAGATACTCAGTTTACATTCTGCACCACAACTTGTTTCGAGAGTAAGGTTTACCTTTGAGCATTCCTGCTGTGCAACAGCAGGAAGCACAGGCAGATGCACTGTGAGTCATAAAAACTGCTAAATCAACTTTCAATTTAGGTTCATGTGATGGGATCTCTCAGTTTTTCTGACAAATGGTCTCACATTTGATCATTTTCAGACAGTTTAGCCTAGGACATCATACCTATTTTCAGACAGATCTGACCCATATGTCCAGTAGCTGTTTTTTTCTTGGTGGGGGGGGGGGGATCTTTTGCTTACAAGGTTGTCAGTGAGTCTCAGGTTGGTAATGCAATCAAAAATAAATAATGGTCCATCAACTGATATACTCAGACATCGACAAGAGCATCAAGATCAAGTTAGACAATGCAGTCAAAGAATAAGATACCACCAAACTTTTAGATATGGGATTTTGTTGCATCCACAGAGTGAACAATGCATTCCAAGGTGAAAATCATATATTTCGAATTACAGATATACTTTCATTGAAAAACATATTACTGAAAGTCTTCTAAAAAATTCTCTTCACCTAGATATGAAAGACAGCTCAATATCACTCAAAAAACTAAAGATAGTTGCCTTCACCCTTTCATGTGTCAATGGAAATGAAGTTATTCTTCTACTTAACAAATGGAATTTATACCAGGAAGTTAATGTTCTACCTGACGTGAAAGAAAAACTCAGTAAAACCACTATTGGAAAAAATTCTTTGAACTGAAAGATGCTAGTGAAAACCCACATTTTAGATTACTGCCAAAGTTAGTCAAGGGTACACTTATACTGTCCTAGGAGACTCTCTACTAAAATTCTGTGTGGATCACTCTTTGATGATAATTGATACACATAACTGATCTGCATTTAACCAATGAACGAACAATATAAAAAACTATGCTATAAAGCAAGAAGTCTAGTACTAAATTACATGAAATATTTGGTACACAGCTTTAAGTATCTATTTTACGAACCTTAGCTATAACAAACATTTACTCAAACATGCAGTGTAAAACAAGATGTGTTTATAGCTAGAAACAGGATAAATGATTTACTTTCAGTTCCAAAGTGTGTCTGCTCAATGCTTAGTATCTTTATTTATCTCTGTTATATGTACCAACAACAAAATCTAGTAGAGAAAATAAGGCAGCTCACAGAAATAATAAAGAATTTGATTAAAAAAAACATTTTATGATGGATGGTTGGTGTGCACATAACATCTATAAGTTTCATATTCATCTATGGTAGGTTTGATAAATCTGTTCTTTTAGTGCATGTCTTCTTTTCACTTGTGGATCAACAGAAAACTCACTTTTTTAAATAATATTTTTAATAATAAATACATCATCACAAGTATGTTCTACAATATAAAAAATAGCCAATTTCTAAAATTAAACTGATAAAAACTTGTAGGGTTGGGTTATGTATGATGTATATGCATGTAAATTTTAATAGCTGAAAAGGTCTACAATGACACAGCATTTAAACTGAACAATGAATTACTTCAAATCATTAAATGTACTTGGTACATCCATAGTCACATACACATCTTTTAGGTTCTTTAATAACAAACTGTGGGACTTTCATTATATAAAATGTTGGTTTATTATGATTGGTTGTTCAAAGAACATCATATGAAATTATTTATGCACCATAAAAAATGTAAAAAGTAAACAAACAAGTTGTACAAAGACTATGGAATGTGTCAATTACATATGAAAATTTCAAAGATGTCAAAGAACTGTTAATGAAAACAAGGTTAATTTTTCTTTTAAAAATAACTGGAAAGATGTAAACCCTTAAAAGATATGTTGAGTGTAATATAGGAAAAGATGTTGGGATTAAAGCTAAACAAAGAAATAAATAAATAAATGAGGTAACACATGACAAAGGAGAAAGTGGCTCTATAATTTTTAAACAAACAACAACCATAAACCATACTCTTTTAAATTAACCTACAGGAAATTCATTACATTTTCTAATAAATCGTACTGATTAAGTCATAATTTCCTTCAGTACAGCAAACATAAGAAGGTTCATAAAACTTACTGAAAGTTTTACTGTCAGATGAAAACTGGTAAATCCAACAGCTTAAAAAACTAAAAATACAATATAAAATGACATCACTTATAAAAATAGTAAAAATTTGAAACTGCCAAAGTTCAAAATTTTTTTGTATGTAATTGTGAAATTTTACAGTTCTACTAATTCTATAAATTATTTTCATAAAAAGAACTTTTTACTTTTGCAAATTGAGATTAAGTTCTTGGATATTATTTAATAAAGAAATATTTTAAAATACAAGAAACTTTTCATTTTTTAAATCAAATTTCATATCTCCATGTTTCTTCAGCACACACAATTTATAATATCACAAAGCATGATGATTTGCTATAGTTTTACACTTTTTAATAACCTGTAGCTAAAACAGATAATATATAAATTTTAACATACACACTACATATACTTTGCCTTTAATAAAGGTAGGCTAATTAAAAAATGATATATTTTAATAGAAATGAAATTGTTATATTTTGTGACTAGGTTACAACAATATATAAATCTAAGTAAAAAGATATTAAAAAGATATCACTACTACCAGCAACTATTTCTTTGGTATGTACAAGTTTTCATTATATGGCACCAGTTATCTTATTTGGTTTTCTACTACTTATTTATTAGCCAATTTTTTTGAAAGGTAAAGTTTATCCATAACATGTAAGACTACATTACAACAGGATAACTGGAAATAAGTTTATCAAAGAGAACAGTTAATTAAAATTAGTTTGGGTTATTTAATTTATCATCACAAATTACATGTTCCAATGTACAAATAAAACAACAATTCTTTTCATAATCTATAAGGTTGACTTTCTTCATGACTAATAATTAAAAAATATAAATGAATACAAATTAAATGCCAAAAACTGGAACTTACTGTTTACTGTTGCAGGCAGGAAACATTAGCAGGAAAACATTATAAACTAACAAACTTAAAATAAGCAGATCCAATTAAAGCCTACTTAAATAATATCACCTTACAAAGACAGATAAATAATGTTTCACTTTTAATACATTTTACAAGAACAAGAGTTGTAGGATAATGTAATCTGTCACTTATTCAGGCAAAAAAAAAAAAAAACATCTAAGCTACTTAATGTTACATAATATCTATCTTAATTTTATAATGTACAGATATGGGCAAAATGTATGAAACATAACAATGTAACAAGTTCTTCAAATATTTTTTTATTTATCCTCTTTAATTTTCCTTGTATAAGAAATCGTTAGCTTGCTAGTTTTAGTAGTATTATACATACCTCAATGTTGTGATAAGATGTTTTTACATAGTCTTCTAGTTTATATCATAATTCAGCATGGTCTATCCTGAATGTAATTATTGTAATATTTCCAAATTATATCATTCTTAATTGTTTCAGCTTATTTCAGATATTACACTTACCTGATTTCATACATTAATGTAGTTTTTCTTTTCTTTTTTTTACTACTTTTACTAAGCTGTATCTTTTAAGTAATGGACATGAAATGGGGTTGCATAAACCAATGAATACAACACTTTAGCTTGGATGAGAAATGAAGACCAAAGTAAGAATATCTGTTAAGCAAATACTAAACAAATTTGTCAAAATTTAAAGTTCCTTTTTTCTATTATAACAAAAATGCAAGCAAAGAAATTGAGATAAGCACATGGATTGTGGCTCAGTTTTCATATACTATTAATTCAGACTTAACTCTCTTCCAGAAAATATTAAGCAGGCTGAAAAAAAAAAATGTATACATTGACCAGCAAAATACCACTTGTAGGATGTTTCCTGAACTGATCATGCATGTAGAATTAGTTGAGGTTCCACAACACACATATACATGTTTATGTAAGAGTCTGTGACAATAAGCTGGAGATTATACTCTGTCATAAGTATTCATATGGCTTTGCCTATGCAGTAAGAATAATCGTCGTTCCACTGCATCCCTGTCTGTTGTAGGAAAGAAAATGTTGTGACAAAAGTTGTAAAATTTACCTTCATTGTAGGATAATAATGTACACAGAACTTTAAAATAATATATTATATATATGTATATATATTGTATGCATACTGGACTACCATTCAGCCTCACATGTATAAAACATTTCAAGTTGTCTAGTAACCCTTGTTTCTAGATGAATAAATATATATGTACACAATAAAAAATTCTATACAATGTTAGCTAGTAATAACTATACAGAACATTATCTCATCTGAGACACTTCTTCAAAGAGTATCTTCTGCCACTATACCAGATTTTGTTGAGCTGTTTTGAAATAAGTATGGAGTAAAAATTAATACATTAAACATATAGACCTCATATAGAAACCTATTCTTTTGTTTTTCTGGACATATCCAACTATATATTTTGAAAATAAAACCTTTTTATGTCAATGTGCTAATGTGAAAGCAGTTGTTGTTGAACAGAAATACAGAGTAACATATAAAATTCCAACTAGACTGAATAGTTTAAACTTTATTGATGAATTTTATTATGTGCTATATTTTCTTTTCTTATCTAGTGAATTATTAAAAGTTAGATGGAATTTTGTTTGTTACACAGACCCTACAATAGATTATTCTAAAAAATGAGATTTAACCATATCAGTACTGCCAGAAATATATATATTTAGAGTATCATCTGCAGATTTGAGAAGAAAGTTATTTTTGTTTCCTTGTACTAAGATACACCACCATATATATGACTTTGGTTCCTGGGAGAAGCAGTCTTAAACCGTGCAGAGTATTAGACAATTTATATTAACAAAAAACTGGAAAAAATTATGGTAAAACAAATATTTGATGAATAGGAAAGGTTGATCTCCATTACAGTTTTTGCAGTGGAGTAGAGGGAAGATGTGGGTATCAAACCTGCATAGCCTTATCCTAATTATATAGCTCTAATTGTTTAGCAATTTTTTTTTTTCTTCATCCATCTTTTGATTGTGCAAACATTAATCTTCCTCCAACTAGAACTAACCATTACACATACAACTGCTTTATCTTCACGTACAAAAAACAACCTGATATTAGTAAACACAGTTACCACTCAAGTGCAATCAGATTTGGCCCTTCTACAGCCAATGTGGGGAAGAGCTTTTCAAAACACATTTAATCAGTTTGAAATATTTTATAACAAGAAAGGCATGTCTAGATCACCCATGAGCTGGAATTATTTACCTGTTTATACCCAATGTTCTTCCTGGCTTGTTTTCACTGCATTAGTATTAGACATGTAATGTTAGTCACTATAGAAATGTAACATGTTTCTCTTGTACCTTCATTTTGCATAGATATGAACACTCAAAGAATTAATGTAAAAGTCTGGTATTTATGGAATTGCTGGGAGCCATGTTAATGGCTTTAAAATTTTGTAATGAGATGCTATAACTTGCCATGATATACGCCTAACATACTTAGAATCACTGTTAATTAATGCAATATGATAAAACATCTCTCGAGTGTAAGATTAATTGTTGAATGTAGAATTATTTTAAACCTTCTTTGTTTTAAAGTAATTCTTTTTTTTCTTCAAGAGGGAATACTCACCTTATTTTCTCATCAAAACAGGATCTCTGCATCATGTAAAATGTACTGTTATATTTTCTAAGTCAAATTTCTGAATGATGTATTTCAAAAATGAATATATAAACCTTATTTGAAAATGTAAAGTTGTTTAAACAGTGAAACTACAGAATTTAGTCTATCAAATTTAAACTACTCCAATAAAACACTCAATTAGTTCAAATTGAAATAATTTAGAAAATGCAAAGAAACAAAAGGTAGCAGAAACATACACTGTATTACACAATATTTTAAAACTAAGCACTATTACTCAAAACATGTTAAAAACGGTAAGATTAAAAACTCTAATCAGCAATAACTAGCAATGAAATAACTAATACAATAATGCATTCACAGGTTACTTCAGACATCTTATCATTTAATGAGAACTTGGAAGTTTGAGTTACTATTTATTTTTCAGTTTCTTCAATAGCATTTTTATGCAAGTATGTGTTATATGTAAAACATATTTTTATGACCTTTAACAGGTATACCTGTGACTTTGATCAGACCTTGACAGCACTTAATTAATGAAAATAATAAGTTGGTTTATATGAAATAAGATAACAAGTTCCATCCGTTGTGTTATCCGTATCAACAAATATTTTGTTTTGAGAAACTTACATTTGTTCAGTAGTTTTTTATCTTCTTCATTTGTGATCTGGTATGATAAACTATGAAGAAGTATCTGGGCTGTTTGGTAGTGGTGAAGACACTAAACAGACAAAAAAAAATTAATGCAAAATGAAGATCATATCTAGTGATACAGCCTTCAGAAAAGAGCAGTCAAACTTTAAATACACAAACTATAAGTCAATTGTTCTGAAAAGGCTGGAATAAGGCCCCAAGTAATTGACCAAATATTAAGATTTTAGTTACACTATTTATACGTGTATTGCCTTACACTTTCCTTGTTTTTGTTTTTTTGTTCACATCCTTACTGTGCCCTATGCCAGTGAGGACTTTGCACTCATTTCTTATTTTGTTGTTTTTTTAAACATAAGTATCATAATTTACCAGTGGTTAATTGATTTCCAATTGGTTACTCATTTGATCACTACAAATGGTCATATCTGACCACTGGTGGTTTTAGTCAATCAGTATAACTTGTTACAACTACGGTATATATATATATCCATAGTGTTATACATACAAAGCTATAAAGTAGTATTAAGTATTTAAAAAATATTTAGTTGATTATATAAATATGTTACATTACCAGTTGAAACTTTATATTTAGTAACACATGTAAAATCATCAAATGTTATTTGCCAGACACATGAAGAAAAAATTCAATATGAATAAGATTAAGTTGTAGACTGATAAATGTTTTTGTTTGTTTGTTTGTTTTAAATTTTTTGCAAAGCTACACAAGGCCTATCTGAATTAGCTGTCCCTAATTTAACAATGAACGATTAGAGGGAAGGCAGCTAGTCATCATCACCCACTGCCAACTCTTGGGCTACTCTTTTACCAATGAATAGTGGGATTGACTGTCACATTGTAATACACCCATGGGTGAAAGGGCAAGCATGTTTGGTGGGACAGGGATCTGAACCCGCGAGATAAATGTTGCCTCACCACCACCACCACCAACAAGAACACAAAGATTGTCATAAAGAAGAAATATACTAAAGTTCTTTCATCAATTGACTGATTACTCAATGGTCCCATTAATTGATTCCATTTGATTGATTGATTGCTTCAACATTCCTCAAACCATGGTATGTACAAAAAAAAAAAATAAAAAAATAAGCAGTAGGTGCTGTCAGCCTCTTGCCTTTCTTCTAGTTAGCAATTCAAGGGTGGGGACTGATTCTGACAGACAGTTGCCTTGGTGGCAGATAAACTTAATACCTTTGCCATAACAAAGACAGGAAGAGAAAAGTTGGGAATAAAACCTGAAACCAACAAATTAATCAACTATTGGAATACTTGAAAACATTGATAATTGCAAACACTAATTTCAATTGATTGACTTTTGGAATAATCAAAAACAGTACTCATTGGAAACAATAATATTAACTAATTGATTATTTTCATGACAATCAAATTAAATGGAATTTTGATTAATTGACTGTTGGAATAATCATGAACAGTAATAACTGGAAATACTAATTTTAATTTTAGTTATTTTAGTTTTGTTTGTTTGGAATTAAGCACAAAGCTACACAATGGGCTATCTGTGCTCTGCGCATCACGAGTATTGAAACCCAGTTTCTAGTGTTGTAAGTCTGCAGACACATTGCTGTGCCACTGGGGGGCAGTTATTTTAGTGCCAATTGATTTAATTGTAATTTTGATTACTCAACTGGTCGAAAACAGAAATAACTGGAAACATAAATTTCAATCACTTGATTTAATTATAATTTTGATTAATCAAAATTAACTTGAAAATAAGTGATTTAATCATTGACTATATTGATTAAATCATTCACCTCTATCAGTGCTATTCTGCAATAAGCATATCCTTGTAGGTTTCTAGGCATTACAGTATAGTTTGAAAATATTGCTTTTGAAGGTTTGATTTTAACCATGGATACAATAAAACACTCATGTGTTCTAAATAGTAACATATAAAATCAATATTCTTTCAATTACTAAACAACAGTACCTAATAACAGTGTTACTAAATCTTATTAATATAGTCAAGTCGAAAACTTACCTCTTTGGGGTTCTTCCCAAACAGCTCCACCAGTGCAGCTGACTGGCACTTCAAGAAATCCAAAAATTTAGTTAAACACTAAGGATTACATTAATTAAAAAAAATAATCCTAATTTAGAATTCACATAGTCTATTCTAATGAGATGTCTTTGTAGTAAAACTATCAATACTGAAGTGTGTTACTGCAAGTCAATTTAATTTGTATCTATATAAATATAATAGTATTGTCTGTTGTATGTCCATGTAACTACTTTGCAGGGTGTGGATGGATCTTCACCAAAATTGGTATGGAGGTTCATTAGATCCATATGGGGATGCATAAAAATTTTCAGTTTTGCATTTTGTGTGTTGCAGTTTTTATGGGCATTTTTTTACAACTACCTCACCTCCTGAGGATGGATCTTAACCAAATTTGGTATGGAGGTTTGTTGGGTCCATGCAAAGATATATGCAAACTTGCAGTTTCACATTTTGTGTTTTGAAGTTTTGTAGGCATTTTTTTATAATTACATATAAGGAAAGCAACTTTTCATGTCCTAAGATAACCTTTCATTAATCATAAATTTACATAACTTCCATCCGAGGATGAGTACTCTAGCTAGTAGAATAATAAATTGCTTACAATTCTAAAAATAACTAAAAAAAAGCTATTTATATTATACTTAGTACATGTGTCACAACAACTTTTAATAAACTTTGCTTTTCTGTTGATTATCAAAAGTTGCAAACTACCAATTATTAGGACTCATATGGTAGCAGCACCACTCATAAGCTATTATTAGTAATAGAAAAAACGTATTATGAGAACCTGTATGGTAGCAACACTACTCACTGACCATCATAAATAAGGAACAATCCAATATCACAACCTATGTGGAAACAGGACAAATCAGAGAAATCAGGTAATGAACAACCCACTATCAGAACATGGAAACAGTAGCAGCACTACTCAATGACCAACATTAGTAATCAACAACACAGTCTACTATCAAGATCTATATAGTAACAGAACAACTCAGTATTTGTAACAAGTATTGAACAGCCTACTACCATGACCCATAAAGTAACAGCACTACTTATTGGCCAACTTAAGTAATGAACAATGAAACCCACTAACAGGATCTATATGGTAGCAACACTACTCATTGAAATTAGCTGTATATAAATATTTAAAGTAATTAAATGCCAATAAAAAGACCAATTTTTTTACACATGCTTGATAATAAACTATTTTTACCTGTAGAGATGTGAAAAGTATGTAATTAAAACTATATCAAAACCTTTTATCCCTTTACTCTTTGAACCGGTTAAATTATTAATGATAAATGTTCACATTGAAACACTTTGAATAAAAGTGTGTGTGAATATTTTTTCCACATTTGTGTACCTTGTAAGAGTGCAGTAATAAGTTTTTTCAGATAATTTTTCTTCCCACAACCATCTGACTTCTTTGTTCATTCCTAACCACTTTAAACCAATTCCGTATCTGGAAAGTTAACACTTTCCTAATCTGAAATGTGTTTCTAATAGATGCTCACCTCCACACACAAATTAGCTATATTCCTCATATATCTGCCTACAAGATTTGCATGCCACTAACCTCGAGGCAATTTCACATTTTAATGGGAACTGTGATGGTGTATGATGAAGTCATCATCTGACAAAAGCCCTCCACTAACAGTAGGGATGAGGAATATATAAGTGTAGTGGAAGAGGGTGTGAGAAACATCCATAACATAAACCTTCAAAAGACAGTAATCGCAAACAAGAAGAAGAAAGAAAGAAGTTTGAAGAGAAAGACGGTACAAAAAAAAAAAAAACAAGATGCCAATGCTCAAACAAATTTGCATAAGATTGTGCAAAATTACACTAAGGTCTCAGGCAGGCATGGTAGTTGGGTGAAGAGAACAGAGTAGAGTGGACATGGGAAGAAACACCTTATGGTACAGGGAAAGGCAAAATGCAATGGACAAAGCTGCCCAGCAACTAGTAAAGACAAAGACTGACAAACCATAGATGAACAACCAGGTAAAAAGGCAGAAAGGTGGTTCACAGTATGATGGCCAGGAGAAAAAGGAATGACAGATGGGCCAATGACAAAAGACCTGCCACTGTCATTGATAGACAAACACTGTAGAAGGATGAAAGGAATGTGACAAGAAAAATACCACACAATTGTAAAGTCTGGCCCAACACGCAACACACCCGATAAATCCCATGTGTGAAAATGGAGGGAAAATATCTCTCAATGAAAAAGGGATGTGTGACGATAAAGCAAGAGAGAGGGAATATTCAAAAAAGGAGGTAGGGTCTGAATGCCAAGCAGACCAAAGCTTAGCTGGTGAAATAGGCACCAACAACAGGACCTGACAAGGTGTAAAGATAAGAAGGGGAATAGGCATATAGAAAGAGGTGAAACCAGGGGCCTGGTTGCATCATCAGCCAGAGTTTAAGGATGAGGAACAGGGGACAGAAGAGAGGAGGTCCAGGGTTGAGAAGGATGGCAAAGGCATCTATGAGGAACATGCTCAACCAAGAGCAAACAAAACAATGCTATATGAGGGTGTAAAGACGATTACAAATAGATTAGAAATAGCTATAACATGGAACAGAGATGAACTTGTTAACATTTTTGTAGAGTTATTATTTGTTTGATATAAATTGTAGCGAAGTTTCATTAAGATGTATCTTTTTTTATTACTTAATGATTTAATTACCTTTAAATAAATTAATCAACAACGTTATATATTTCCTGAAGAGCTATATAATTTTTTAGATGTCAGTTTCATTGGGTTAATCCACAAATTTGTTTCAGTATAAACGTACATAATATGTGGTAGAATGCAGAATGACCAAAATAGGCAGTCTGTCATCAAGTTCTTAGCTCCTGACAAATGACAGGTAACAAGACAAACCCAATATGAATGGGCCCAGAAGAGTATGTCCAATACCTGAAAGCAAAGGGTCTTGGAATGTATGCCTCAAACAGTGGGTGCAAGAAACAACTGTAGCTGACAAGTAGTGAGAAGGTCAAGCATGTTGATGTAAGCTCAGAAGTCATGCCCTCAATCAGAGAGAAAGTATAAGTGAATAGATAGTTCATGTTTGAAAGTGGAAAGGGAATGCTGGAATTAATATGGGTACAGTCCAGTCACCATGACAATTCCTAGAGGAGAGGAACACAAATGAGAATAATGGAACCCAAGAACAAAACCCATGGATCTGCAAGGTCCACTGGAGGAGGCACCTGTGTGCATACTCCAAAGGAATGAGGAGTTCCAAGGATCCCAGAGACTCCAAAAGTGAAAGAACATTTCACACAAGAAGAGAATGAGAGGAGCAAAACCTGGTAACTAGATAAACCATAGCTCACAGGTGAAGAGGAGAGGACAGAACTTGGCTGAGACAAGAGATGAAGAAAACACCCAAATGTACCAAATACTGAGTGGGCATGAAACAGGACTTAGATCTCATGACAAGGCCTCCCAACTGAAAATCTCCATTAAAAGAAGGCAAGTGTGAGAAGAGGAAACCAATAGAAAAAGGGCCAACAGAAGTCTATAATAATAATAAAAAAAAAAGAAACACCAGCTCAGGGCAGTGAATATGGTGAGTGAAGGCCTTCATGATCCATTGAATATATATCAAAGGGAAAAGCAAGGAATGGGAAAATGCAAAACTGATGGATGGAATGTAGAAAAGATGGAAGAGGGGTCAGGAATGGTGTGTAGGAAGGTGTCTGACACATCAATCATGGATAAGTGCAGACCAAGTTAAATCAATCACAGATAGGGTCAAAGGGAGGAGAAAAGGAAATGAGAAGTGAGGAGACAGACCAAGGTGGAGAAATAAAAAATAACTGTTGGCAGAAAATGAGACCAACAGCAGGAGAAGAGATGGATGCCCATAGGGTCGTACGTGTCAAATAGTCACTGACAAGAAGAATGATGATCTAGATTTCTGGTAGAGGGAAGACAAAAAAATGAGGATGGCCTGGAAACTGAAATGGGAAGGTTATGGGCAGACTGTTCCAGACAAGGAACACGAGTAAGGGGCAAGATTGAGAAAGAAAAACTTGTGAAGATAATGAAAATTGAAGCCATGTAATATTAGTCCAGGTCACTAGGGAGAAATGAGCACTGCTGAAGACATCCAGGCACAGAAAGGGAGAGCCCAATGAATATGATGTACAAAAGGAGGAGGAGGAAGTACAGCAGAGAGGGACATAAACCAATCCAATGAGTCCCAGCATCAGGGGAATAAAGTAAGGAGGGATAGAGCAGGCTAAGATGACAAGGAGAAGAAAACAAACATCTACAGCACAATAAAGTGCCTCAGACAAAAGGTGGAGCTAGGACAGGGAATATAGAAGGGTAGTGAGAAAAAGACTAAAATGCAAAATTGAGGATCCAGAGAGAAAAATAAAAAGGGGTCCAATCCCCAAGCTGGTCAAATAGATACCAAGGACAGAGAATCAAGAAAGGGAAATGAAGAGTCTACAAGTCAGGATAAAAAGAGCCACAAAAACAAGAAGGATGAGACATGTGGGAGTGAGTAGAGAAAGAAAGAAGTATAAATCTTAATGACAAGCAAGAAGGTATGACAAGGTAAACCCCCATGAACTGTGGATCATCAAAAAAAAGAGAAATAAGAAAGGGCACAGGCAAACGATAAGGAAGGGATCATACCTATGAATGAAATCCAGAAAGAGATTGGAAAGTTATGGTTGTTTCCCGAATGGTAAGATACTACTTAAAGCAAATCATGTTAACATTTTAGTCCAATAGATCATTCCTGACTGAAGGGAAAGAATTTCAACTGATGGGACAGAAGTAGGAGGCCCAGTAAGCAAGTGGGAATCCACAACATGTTAAACAATGATTGCAATGTCCCTGACAGTTAATGAGTCTCCAAAAGCCATATTAGAAATAAGGACTGTGTGTGTGTGAATAACATCACTCACACAGGACTAAATACAAGTCACCATCATTTGAGAATTCACAATAAAAATTAAAGCTTTTGAAACAAAAGCTATAGAAAATGAAAAT